CAATCACACGCTACTCATGGCGCTGAGGCTTCCCGCCATGGGCCATCTAAGCGCTGCAATCTTCGCATGAATGATTGATGGCAACCAGAAGCAAAGCTTCGTTCTCACAAAATCGCACGTGGGCATGAGACGTTGATCGATGAATTTGTAGGCAAGCTTGATCGCATGCGTGCTGCTTCGTCCGCGATGGACTGGTCGAGTCGACTAACGAGGTACAAAAGATTAGATAGGACCATGGGAACGAGAAGAAAGAGCTTGGAATTTTGTGGCGGATCACCTGATGGGTATAAAGAAATCATCGAGGTGACACAGCACATCAGAAATTGCGATCCCAGCCTTTGGGCTACAACAATAGCCAGCGACGGTGCGTAGAAAGTTGCTCAGAGCAGTGAAGCGACGCTGCGCTTGATAGGTCGATCAGCTGCTAGCCGTTTGAGTTTTGGCTTCCGCTCCTTGGAGAGCCTGAGCGGTCCTTGACCGTCCAGTCTGACGCTCTACAACATAGGCCTTATGATGGCGCGAGCGACAAGAAATATAGCGTCAGCACCACCTCCACACCTGTCAGGCGCAGTGCTTCGAAGCGCGTTAAGCGTGTGCCTCACCTGCCCAATCACGCTAAGCGAATTTTGAAGAACGTCGACGAGCGACTGTTCGACCCACGCATTCTCCTCAAACGGCACGTCAACTGCGAGCGAAACGTAAGTAATGTACAATGAGATGTGCACGCATATCCTAGTGAGACAGCTCAATCCTTCGTCAAAGGCTAGACTGCACTCACGCCAGCTTCTTGGTACAGACTGGGACACCGTGGTATGCCTGCACCCATTTCCAGGATCCTGCAGTAGAAGCAAGAACCACAGCTGCTCTTCAGGTTCCGCGTTCTCCTTCGACGTCACAGATCTGGCTTTGGAAATGCCCGCGTTGGACGTTGAGGCGAAGATTGGTAGAGGTGCAAGTACGGGCTGAATGCGGACAAAGACTGGACAGTGCGTGATGGGTACTGTCAAGCTGGATGTGGCTGGTGGAGCTGCGGAGTGTGACGCGATCGTCTTGGCTAGTGCGTTCTGCACGGATGGAGCGAGCGAAAAGAGAAAGTTGCTAAGCAAGGGCGTGAAGATGGCGATGCCCGGCTGACTTTATCGCAGCTCACCTCAGCCTTTTCTCTCGCTTGGTCCCAACCAATCACAGCTCTGAAGTCCCTCTCATTCGAATCTGATGTGGCTTGCTTGAGCGGAGACGATTCCTCCACCGTCTTGGCTTCGCCTGATGGTCGAGGCTCTGGAGCCTTGTTCACAACAAGTTGTTGCTCTGTCCCTCTGTCCATTTGAGCTTCCATCACGCTTTGCAGCACCTTGAACACCACGTCTGCGATCCCATCGTAACCAATCATGTCTGCGAGGTAAGAAATATCGTCAATACATGAAGAATCAGCGACGATCATTTCAAGCTCTGTCAAAACAGGCAATCGAATGACTTTGCGCGATACTTACCATGACTGAGGGTCACTTGAATGACCTCATGCTCGGAAATGGGAGGGGCGACAGCATTGATGATTTCGAGCCAGCCTTTCCTGGAAGCAGCGGTAAGATCTTCGCCTTGCGTACAGACCGGAAGAAACCGATCAGCCATTTGCTGTCTATTCTCAACAGCAAAGTAGCATGACGCTCAAGCCGACACAAACTCACCAAGCTTCTCGAGCCCGGCATCCTTCACAAATCCTCTGACACCCTGAGCGATGCCCCAGCCTCTAGATTGCAATTCCCTTGCAGCTTCCTGAGTTCCAGCAGGTAGCTGAGGCAGACTGGGTAGAGCTAGCCCACCCCTACCCCTCGTACCTTCTATTGACTCAGAAGAACCAGGAACGGCGCTGACAGCAGCTGACCTCTTCTCCAGCTCTGCTCTAGCTTGATCCGCAAACTTGGTAGCTTGACCCCAAACGCTGCCCCAGCCCCATCCTCCGCCGCCGCCCGCGTTCGCGCTGGAAGCTGCCGCAGCCTGCTCTGAGGATGTAGCTGTGGAAGGAATAGGCTCCTGCCCTGACAAAGACGTGGCCGCCGACGCTGGTGTAGCAGCCTGTGCCCTAGCAGGCGGAGCTACCAAAGGAGAGCTAGCGTTGGTGGAGCTTGTAGCAGTGCTAGCGCCTCCACTCAGCGCAGACGCCTTCCTGGTACTACCAGCTCCTCTTCTCTGCACCAAATCGTCCATCTCATCCAACAAGCTCTGCGCATCCCCACCCGCGCCCGCAGCCCCTGATCCTGAGCTCGATTTGGCACCTGCAGCTGCATTGGAACCGTCCATGGAAGCATCGCCGCCAACATCCAGGGAAGATAGCAGCGCCTCGACGGAATCGGCTGCTTTTGTTTTCGGCTTCGACTTGGTTGGTGTGGATGCGGACATGGTGAAGCTTTTGTACGACGGTACGATCGAGTGTTGCAGGCCGAAGACCCCACTCGCTGCGGTTCAGAGTTGGCTGTGCGTGCCGGTTGTACTGCTCACGTCTTGTCTTGCGTATCGCGCTACAGCGTGACGACAGCACAAGAGAGGGAGGCTGACTTGCGACGTGAGACTCGCTTGTGTGGAAAGTGCGGAGGGACGTGGTGGTGCCAAGAGGGACGGTGAGATGGCGACATTCAGCGTGCAAGCGTGGAGCTGAGCCTTGTTGGCGCGTGCGAGCGTGACCGTCCGATGTATGCAAGCTTGTGCGGCGAGCAAAGCGAGCCGCACGGGATGTCTGCTTTGCGTAAGTACTGTTGTACTACTGTACACTGCATGTACACAAGCGCATGCAGCAGCGGCTGTCCGTGAAGCGTGCAGAGATGCGAATCGGCCCGCGCGCTGCTTGCTTGCTTGCTTGCTCCCTCTCCATCGCTTACCGCCGTACCGCGCACACGGCACACACGCGCCCAGTCGAGGGGTCACGAGTCCGGCTCCACGTGGACGCGCTAGTGAGATAGGTGGGCTCCGTCACCCAGCATCATCAGGATGAAAGTCGGACGAGCGTAAGGGTCGCTCACGACCTTGCGATTCAACCACCTGCGTCGATGCGTATGGCGTCTCCCTCTCATTCATGCCCCTCGCCATCTCTAGCAGGCACCGATCTTCTGTTCAACTCGCTGCCAAGGCATCGCCGCGATCCATTTTCCGGACCCTGTACTCCTTCGGCTACTTGGCTCCCACACGAGCTCCCAATCGGGCCGAATGACTTGAAAGCGCTGGAGCAGCCTCTCGCAAGCTTCATCATCGCACCGGAGCTCTTACAAAATGGTGAGCCGTCGCCCTCAAACATGGGAAGCGCGTCGTTGTCTCTAATCTTACTGACACTAGTCTTCTCCGTTGCACGCACGCACGCACGCACGCCTCAGGCCAAGAGAACCGTCCTCCCGCTAGACGAGTGGCAGAGGAGCCTGAACGAAGTGCACGTCAGCAAAGAGTGAGTCCAATGCGCTGATTCCTGCCCTTAGGCAGTCGCGGAGCGCTGTGCGCATATAGCGAAAATCTCTGTTGGAAAGGAAACGATTCGATGATGAGACTTAACGCATTGGTGGGAATCTCTCCGAAGTTTTAAAAGACGAATGAGAGACCACGACATTACTTTTGCTCACTGATGCGA